AAGTTAAAGTAAATTGATGGCAATTGACAGCTCCAAGCTGGACACAGGTATAGGGAAGAGGAAATAATAGTTGTTACGTCAGAGTAATTTACACTTTCTGTCTCCCACACTTAATTTACTCATTGGAAATAATTTTAAAATTGCTCGGTTTAATTCCCACCCTGTACTGCTTTACAACTCGGCTTGTAGATGGGATTTGTGTCAAACCTCAATTGAACACTACAGCAGAAGAAATCACAAGGAAATTCAAAGCAACAGTATCCTTTATTGGTTTGGGAGAATAAGTAGACTGTCTTTCTGTAAAGGATACACGATTCTTGTTTCTAAAGAATCATCAGAACCTTATTTTTGCTTTCTGAGGAAGGTCACCGGACCCGAAATGTTAACTCTGATTTTTTTTTTCACAGATGCTCCCAGACCTGCTGAGTTTTTCCAGCAACTTCTGTTTTTGTTCCTGATTTACAGCATCAGCAGTTATTTTGGTTCTTATTTTTGCTTTAGCTGGAACAGGAACTGAATTTCCACTTTGAGAAAGTTGTAGCTTATGTAAATATTCAGTCCCTAAATTTCAGTTTTCACTTAAGCAAACACCCATTGTTATCACTGTTGCTATGACATCTACAAACTTTTGCCCTTGAACTTTTTGATCAAAAAAAATCTCCAGGCATTTATTTTCTAATAAATTATTCATTCAACATTTGAAGCGTATTTTAAAATGTACTTAAAGCTAACTAAGTTCAACTTATGATTCCAGATACAGCCAAGGCAAACTTTAAGCAAATTGCCTCTTCAAGCTAACTTTTATCCTCTGACGACAACAGCATATATTCAGGACAATGACGTTCGTTTGACCCTGCACTCAGCTCAGTCTTTGGGAGTCGCTAGTCTAAAGAGTGGTATGTTTACTTACATTTCTTTCCTCATCATACTAAAATGACTCACATCACATACTTGTACCCCTTTCCAACAGTCTACCTATCAGCTGTTAACTTCATATCTCTCTTCCCACACCTCACAGTATTTTCAGATTTTATGTCATCTGGAGTTTTTTAAAATTTATGCCCTGTTCATTTGGAAGGGAGAACAAAGAAAAGAACAGAATATTATTTAAATGGAGACAAATAACAGAAAGCTGCAACACAGTGGGACTTGGTTGGGGGGTGGGGTGTGGTCTACTTGTGCATGAAACACAAAGCCAGCAAACAGTGCAATAAGTAATCAGGAAGGCTGGTGGAATGTTGACCCTTATTTCAAGGAGGTTGGAGTATAAGAGTAGGGAATTCTTACTGCATCCGTACAAGGTGCTGGTGAGACCAAATCTGGAGTACTGTGAGCAGTTTTGGTCCCCTTATTTAACGAGAGATGGCTTTTCATTTGTGACGGTTCAGAGGTTAACTAGGATGATCTCTGGTAGGAGCAAAGGCTAAACAGGTTGGGACTGTACTCACTGGAATTTAGAGGAATGAGAGGTGATATACTTGAAACGTATAGGATTCTTAAGGGGCCTGACAGGGTGAATGCTGAGAATTTCATGTTTCAACCCATGGGAGGGTCTAGGACCAGAGGGCGAAGTCTCAGAATAAAGGGACACCAATTTAAAACTGATGTGAGGAGGAATTTCTTCTCTGAGGGTTGACAGTCTTTGGAACTCCTACCCACAGAGAACTGTGGGGGGCAGTGTCCTCCTGCTTATTTAAGACTGAAATAGATAGATTCTTGATCAAAAGTTGAATCAAACGTTACGAGGAAAACACAGGGAAGTGATATGGGGAATGTCTGATCAGTCATGATCCTACTCAACAGTGGAGCAGCTCAAGGGACTGATTGGCCTACTCCTGTTCCTATTTCTGGTGATCTGTACCCAAGTCTAGGTCACTAACATATATCAAGAAAATTATGTTTTAATGCCAACCCCTGGAGATCCTGAATATCTTCATTCGACCTGACTTAAAATGGACCATTACCCCTTTTTATCTCCAATCACTCAGCCAACTCTATATCCTTGTAGCTACTGTCCTTCCCATTCTATGATCTCTAATATTGCGGACAAGGTTGTTAAATGATATTTTTGACAGATGTTTTTTGGAAGTCCGTATATGTACATCAGCTCGATTAACCTCATCAACCTCCCCTGCTGTCTCATTAGAAAACTCAAGCAGATTAATTAAACAGGATTTTCCCTTAACAGATCTGTGCTGGTTTTCCTTCATTAGTGTAAATTTGTCTGAGTAACAGTCCATTTTATCTTATGGAGTATTTCTGAAAGTTTTCTTACGTATCTATGTTCAACTAATTGACCTGTGGTTGATGGAATTATTCTTGCAACTACTGACGAAGATTGTAATGTGGGTGAGTCAAATCCCATCCCTCTTCCACCTGTTTGTTCCCCCCACCCCCAGCAAAAATGGCTTCTGCCAGGTATGGGACAGGTCCTCTGGATCCAGGGTCTGTCCACCATTTTGAAAGTGCTCCAGAGACCCCATGAAAATCTAGAACCTTGTTTACCAGGCACGTGTGTGATGTAAGTAGGTGAGTTCAAGTGGGAATTAAGTTGATCAGATTGAAAGGGGAGGTGAATAGGAAACTAAGACTGGCAAGAAGAGGTAATGAGAATAGAATAGTCATCAACATAAAAGGGAATGCAAAAATCTACTAAGCATGTAAATAGCAAGTAAGATGAATCTCGTAAAATATTGGTATATTGGTGATAGTGGATGCAAGGGATAGTGTGAAAATTAAGGAGGAGGTGGTACTGGAAAGCCTGGCTATGCTTAGAGTAGTTACGCCACCTGTTCTTTGTGAAGAAGTAATAGGGAATGCAATGGATGTTGTCTGTATGGATTTTAAGACAGAATTTGACAACGTAGCTCATAAAAGCTGGTTATCGGAACCATGGCTTAGTGAGTGGAATAGCCAGTGAGCAATTGAATAGAATTTAAAAAGGAGAGAGTCATGGTAGATGATTCATTTTCTTTTTCTAGCTGATGTATGGTAGACACTGGTTCTTCCCAAGTCCGTATTAGGACTACTGCTGTTTTTGCTAAGATTAAATTACTTGGATGCTAATGGGTGTGCAAGAACAGAGGGACCTTGGAGTGCATATATATTGATCTTTGAAGGTGCTGGAACATACTGGGAGAATGGTTAGCAAAACATGTGAAATATTGGTCTTCATAAATAGATGAGTTGAGTACAAGATCAGGGAAGTTATCAGGATGTACTGGCACTGGAGGGGGTGCAAAGGAGGTTCACTCGGTTGATTCCGGAGTTGAGGGGGTTGGCTTATGAGGAGAGATTGAGTAGATTGGGATTATATTCATTGGAATTCAGAAGATTGAGGGGGGATCTTATGGAAACATATAAAATTATGAAGGGAATAGATAAGATAGAAGTAGAGAGGATGATTCCACTGGCAGGTGAAACTAGGACAAGAGGGCATAGCCTCAAGATTAGAGGGAGCAGATTTAGGACTGAATTGAGAAGGAATTTCTTCACCCAGAGGGTTGTTAATCTATGGAATTCCTTGCCCAGTGAAGTAGTTGACGCTACTTCAGTAAATGTTTTTTAAAAAAAAGGCAGATTTTTTTTGAACAATAAAGGAATTAAGGGATACGGTGAGAACGCAGGTAAGTGGATCTAAGTCCACGAAAGGATCAGCCATGATCTTATTGAATGGCGGAGCAGGCTCGAAGGGCCAGACGGCCTACTCTTGCTCCTAGTTCTTATGTTCTAAGTTATGATGAACCTAAATTAAACTCTGGTTAGGGCCCAAGTAGCACATTGTGCCCAGCTTTGGTTCCTACATTTTACAAAGGATGCAAAGGCCTTTGTGAGGTTTCACAGGATATCTACCAGAATGATTTTAGGGATGGGTATTTTTCTTACAGTATTAGATTGGAAATGCTAGGGGTGTTCTACTTGGAGCAAAGGAGATTGATTGGACATTTGATAGAGTTTTTCAAGATTACGACAAACTGAGATAAGGTGAAAATATTAACTATCGTTTGGATTTTTAAATAATTCATTCAGGGTATATGGGCTACACTGGCTGGGCCAGCACTTATTGTCCATGCTAATTGCCTTTGAGAAGATAGGGGTAAGTTGCCATTTAAAGTAGATACACCCGCAGTACAGCTGGGGACAGAAATCCATGATTTTGAGTTTGCAACATGGCAATATGTATCCAAGTCAGGATGGCATGTGGCTTGAAGGGAACTCATAGGTGGTGATGTTCCTATGTATCTGTTAACTGTGCACTTTTAGAAGAGAGTCGTTGTGAGTTTGGGAGAGATCTGTTGAGGTTGGTTGTTAAGTTATTCAAGGATGAGATAGACAGAGTTTTAATCAGTAAGAGAATCAAAGGTTATGTGGATAAAACAGGAAAGTGGAGCTAATCACAGACCATAGAGATCTACAGCACAGAAAAAATGGCCTTTCAGCACATCATGTCTGCATTGGTCAAAACAACAACTATATTCTAATTCCATTTATGAGCACTTGGCCAATGACCTTGTATGCCTTGACATCGGAAGTGCACATCTAAATGCTTAAATTTTATGAGGGCTTCTGCCCCTGCCATCCTTACAGGCACCGCTGGATGAAAAGGTTTTTCATCACATCCCCTCTAAACCTTCTGCTCCTTACCTTAAATCTGTACCCCCTGGGCATTGATCCCTCCATGAAGAGGAAACGTTCCTTCTTGTCAACCATATCTATGCCCTGCATAATTTTATACATCTCAATCATGCCTTGCCTCAGTCTCCTCTACTCTCAGAAAAGCAACAAAGTCTGTCCAATCTCCCTTCCCAACTGAAACTGTCCAGCCCAGGCAATCCTGGTAAATCTTCCTTGCACCTATCACATCCCTCCTATGATGTGGATTTCAGAATTTCAAACAGTGTGGTAGCTGTGACCTAACCAGGGCAACATGGTGGCACAGTGGTTAGCACTACTGCCTCACAGCACCAGGGACCTTGTTCGTTTCCACCCTCGGGCAACTGTCTGTGTGGAGTTTGCACATTTCCCCATGTCTGTGTGGGTTTCCTCCCACCGTCCAAAGATGTGCAGGCTAGGTGGATTGGACATGCTCAATTATCCGTAGTGTTCAGTGATGTGTTGATTAGGTAGGTTACAGGGGAATGGGCCTGGGTGGGATGCTATGACGGTTGGTGTGGACTTGTAGGGCCAAAGGGCCTGTTTCCACACTGTAGGGATTCTATGATCTATGATGTAACCAACATTTTATACAGTTCCAGCATAACTTCCCCGCTCTTAAATTATATACGTCTATTAATAAAGGCAAGTATATCATATGCCTTCTAAACCACTTTATCCACCTGTCCTGGTACCTTAAGGGGTCAGTGTAGATGCATATCATGGTCCCTGTGATCTTTGGTGCTTCCCAGAGTTCAACCGTTCATTTCTGAAGAAGGGTCTAGGCCCGAAACGTCAGCCTTCCTGCTCCTCTGATGCTGCTTGGCCAGCTGTGTTCATCCAGCTCTACACCTTGTTATCTCATGTATTCCTTTGCCTTGTTTGTCCTGCTTACTTCACATTTGTCTGGATTGAATTCTAATTACCGCTGCTCAGCCCATCTATCTCTTTTTGTAGTCTAAGGTTATCCTCATTATTTACCACCACAAGAATTTTTGTATTGTCTGCAAACTTACTGATCAACTCTCTGAGAATCAAATCCAATCATTTCCATAAACTACAAACAGCAAGGGTCCCAACACTGACCTCTGTGAGACCCCACTGGACACAGACTTCCAGTCAGAAAAACACCCCTCAACTATCACCTTATGCTAAGATAACAAGGTGTAGAGCTGGATGAACACAGCAGGCCAAGCAGCATCAGAGGAGCAGGAAAGCTGTTTTTTCGGGCCTAGACCCTTCT